AATATTATATATATTATTAATAAATTCATATTTATAAAATAAATAAAAAATAATGTATTAACTTTGTATTAATTTTATTTATTAATAATTTTTTTTAAAGATATGCATTTATATAACTGTATGGAAAGATAATGTATGGAAATATAATTTTAAAAAACAGTGCTTAATGTTGATTGGTTAATTTTTATTTTTTTAATTATGTTTTATAAATCAGGGTCATCAGATTACTCAAAGAAAGATAGTCTCATTAATATCTTTAATTATTATTTTCAATAATACTCAAACAAAGAATAAATACTAAAAGTGAAGAGTTTATAATAATATAACTTTATATTACTTCTTAATAAAAATTTTAATAACCTATTATTTATTATTAACATAATTAAATATATTGAATATAATTAAATATTTCTTTCAATTTTTAAAAAATTTACAAAAAATTTTATAGTGTCATATATACAAAATGAAGTGGTTAATTTTTAGTACTACATTAATAATTTGGAATTATATAATATCTTGTCAGGATATTGTTTTTCCAAGTGATGAAGAAACATATCACGTAAACGACAATAATGAGACGGTAAAAAAATTAATTTAATATCGCAAAAATAATTTTAAAAAATTTTTTGAAAAAAAAAAAATTTTTTTATTTAGATAGCAGAACATAATCCAATATTTATACCAGATTCATGTCCCAAAAATATGCTTCTTTATCCTGGACCTGGAAATATAAGTACACGGATATGTGATTGTAAACCTGGATTTCTATATTTTCCATCGAATAATAGTTGTCATGAAGCATATAGACAAGGACCATGTGCACCACAGCATTATGTTATGCTTCCTAAAAATAAAGTTATACCAAAATGTATAAAAAATCCTTGCCTGCAGGATGGTATAGTACAATATAATAACACATGTTATTCTTTAAGAACTATAGGTGGATCCTGTGCTCCTAATAAAGAAATAGCAGTAAATGTAATTACATTTGAATTAGAATGTATATCAGAAATTAAGCTACATGTAATAATCGAAGCATCTGAACAATGTCCTATTGGAAGTCGTAGAAATATACTTGGAATATGCAAAAAAATAAAAAATATTATTACATAATAAATTTTTATTTTTTATATAAAAAGATATTTATTCATTTGAGTTTTTTTATATAATAACTTTTGATATACTCTTATATAATATAATAATATATTGATATATTAATAATGATATATTATAATAATATATTAACATATTTACAAAATATAGTTATTATTATATTTATTTTTGCTTATAACATAAAATTCTTATTTTGCACATTCATAGGATGTAATTTCAAATATTCAAAAATTCTATACTCACAAAACTATCAATTTCCATCATTATATATTTTTTTTAATATATTTTTTTATAAATGTATAACTATTGTAATTTATATTGTTCTGACATATTATGTACAATTAGATAAAAATATTATACAATAATACAATAAAATATTATATTAAATATATATCATTAATATTATTTAAATTAAATATATATTAATTTTAAATTAAAGATACTGAATCTAAATTCTAATACTAGTTATAAAAATTATAAATTGTAGTTTTATACAGTCTTGATATGTATAAAGATAAAAATATATATAATAAATTATTTCTTTTAATCACAAATCATATTCAATTCTACACTATAATTTCTTAAGTTTGATAAATATAGTTTTTCAATTTTTTTTAATAGATTAGTAATCATATTAAGTCATATATAATTATATTAATTATAAAGTGTGCGTTTAAAACTAATTTCATTGAATATAAATATTTTTTTAAAAAGTAAGAATAATAAAATGTTATTTTAAAGTTTAAATATGTTACACAATCATATTTTTAAGTTGATTCTTGTATTTCATTATTTCTAGCTGCCTCTATTAATCTTTGTCTTTCTCTGTACATTGAAACTTTCATATTTTCTAATTGATGATATCGCAATAATTTTAATACTGCAAACACTGATAGACCAACCCAAATAGATAAACTGGTCCAAGTACCAAATTGAACTGCACCCAATTCAATATGAAAACCAGATGTATCTATACCATCAGCTTTATCAATATCATTCCCAGCTGCTAATTCACAAGATGGAAATCTTTTAGTCATACATTGACACCAAGTCATAAATCCAAGTGTAATAATAATTGCAGCAATTAAAGTTATTGTTGTGAGAAATATTGAACTAACAACATCTATGAATGCAGATAAAAAGGAACTATCTTCTCCACGATACATAAGTAAAGAAAGTCGATAAATTTGTATTGCTGATGTTAATAACAATATTAAACCAACAAATATTGTATAATTACAATAAGCTTGTGAAGCCCAATTTACTATAAATTGACCATCTGATTCTTGCCAAGTTCCTGTTGAAAATAATAGACAATGTCCTCTGTAAACAAATATTAAATAGATATATTTTTTTACATAAATTTTAATACTACTTTTTATGTGCCTTAAAATATTTATTTATTTATTTAAAATAATAATTACCTAAATTCATCTTCATGTAAACTCATTGGTATGATAATACAAAGTGACAAAACAAGAGCTACGACATATCCAGATATTTGACTAAGGAGTAAAATATTGGTTAGTGCCATTTTTTAAATAATAAAAAAAAAATTGATTTCGCAGTATATTATAGAAAAAACAATTCTTAATAAATTTCTAATATACTATTAAATAATTTTAAACACAGATCGCTTAATTACTATATAATTAAACTTCTTAAAAAAATTATATATATATTATAGAAACTACAATGAATATAGATACATACAGGCTAGTAAACCTTCCATTTAACATTGATTATTTTTAAAAAATTTTATTTGAGCGATTAAATTATATTTTACAAATATAAAGAATTTTGTATAAAAATATTCATTCATGAAATATCACTAATATACATGAATAATTTAGTAAATAATTTAAATTATTAAAAATAAAAAAAAATAAAAATCTAAATAAATATTTAGTATTTTTACATATTTAAAAAATTATTCGTATATATATTTTAAAAAAAAGTGATAAGAAAATTTTTATTTTTTTAATAAAAAACCATTTTTATAAAAATCTTTTTTTTTACACAAATATGCTATACAAATTTTTATAGCATATTTTTAAAAATTAATAATAATATTTTAATAAAAATAATTTGCATTTTATGTATTAATAATAATAAAAGATAAAATTAATTTTCTTTAAACATCTTTTAATGAATAATATTTAAAAAATCAAATATAACTTAATTTTATTTTTAATCGAATATTAATATATTATTTTATTCATTACTGAAGAATAAAAAATAAAATTGATTATAATAAATAAATAAAAACTAGATATATTTTAGCTTAATAAAATTTTTATATCATATAAGATAGAAATATAGAATGAATTTCAGTCGCTACAGGAAAAGTGAAAGATTATTGGAAAATACAAATATCAGTGCATCTCTTTTCATAATCATAGTCAGCTGATTTCAGTCAATGAGACACCAGTGTTTCATTTCAGTGTTTGTCCGATAGTCAGAATTCTATGTGTGTAGGCATGTGTATATGTATATGCGTGTAGTGTATCCAAAGGAAAATATTACGCAGCTAGAACCCCGTTACATCCGAATCACCGTATTGTGTTAAGGATCATTGCACCAAAGTAGACACGTGTTAGAAAAATGGAATTCACGTGTTTTTCTTACATTGTGCCCGAATAACAGGCCTAATACAAAACGTATGAAGAAAATTATTTTTAAAAATCCCATGTCTTTTATAGATTAGATTGTCAAACGTGGGTAAAATGTCTTGGTTGGGATGTATTCCTTGGTCTCAAGGGATCAAAAAACGAGCTTGCAGATATCTTTTACAACGATATCTGGGTCAATTCTTGGAAGAAAAATTAACATTAGATCAACTCACTGTAGATCTGTACAATGGAACTGGTCGTGTAACCAATGTCAGCCTTGATGTACAGGTATTATCATTTTCTTTGTTTCAAATTTCTTTGTTAGTCTTTAGTTAGAAAAAATAAATATACTGTTTTGAATTATGTGTAAAATAATTTTTTTATGCATAATAATTTAAAAAATAGAAAAAATGAAATTTAAATGAAATTTAAAATGAATTTTTTATCATAATAGGCTCTTAATGAATTAGGAGAGCAACAACATCTTCCATTAGAATTTGTTGATGGTTTTGTATCAGAAATGTCTGTTAGTATACCATGGTCAGCTTTGCTCAGTGAAGCTAGTTATGTGGAAGTAACAAGTTTGAGATTAACAGTTCAACCTAGACAAAGAGTTAAAAATGGAACTTCAATGTTTGAGTCTATGTGGAGTTCTATGACATCTAGCATGCAACTTGCACAAGAATGTTTACAAGAAGATGCTAAATATGCTGGAAATTCACAACCATTAGAAGGAGTAGAATTGTTTGCACAAACAATAGATTCAAGTAAAAATTTGTTAAAAATGCATTATATATATATAAGTAAAAATTATATATATATATATGTATTTGTCTTTTTTTAGTTTTATGTAGAGTGAAAGTGAGATTTATAGATACTGTTATACGTTTGGAACATGTGCCACTGGATTCTTCAACAGGAGTTGCAATAGAAGTGTGTATAAAAAATCTTGAATATTCAGATGAAGCTGGATTAGATCCAAGCAGTACTTCATTAGATCCTAGTCAATCAACAAAAGGATATGTTGTGTCAGCATTCACAACAAAACGATTTTATTTAGAAGGAGTGACTTTTCATACAGATGAATTCCCATCTCGAGCAAGAACTTTTTCTAGAAGCATTATAACATCTAGCAGGGGTTCTACGCCAGAGTCTAAAGTAACTTTTATTAAAAATTAGTAAAAATATATAAATTAAGAATTTTGTTTGAAATATTTTTTTTATAGAATTCAGATTATCATTTCTCTTCTGTGCAAGTATCTAGTACTCAAAATATACAAACTTCTCCAGAAGGAAATATTATTAATAATTTAAGTGAATCAAATCCTATAATGTTTGCTAAGTTAGCAGGTAGACAAGAAATAAGATTGAAATTAAAACAAGGAGAAGGTGTGTCAGGGCCAAAGGTAAAATTAATTAAAAATAAATAACATCCTTATATAATATCAAAAAAAAAAAATGATAGTATAAATTATAACATATATTTGGCTTAAAATAAAAATGATTTAATTATTTCAGGTAGAATTAGAAATAACCTTAGGATCATTCACTTCATTTTTAAGTCCACGGCAAGTACATGTATTATTGGAATTAGGACATGGATTGGCATCTCCTGATTCAGAAGATGTTAGTAATGTTGCTCCAAGAACTTGTACTGAAAAGCCTATGGCTGGTAGCGATTTTAATCGTGTAGAACGAGAACTTATTCATCAAATACATCCATCTCAAGGATTACGTTCTATGGTATATATATATATATATATATATACACATTTTCATAAAGTTCACAAAACTTCAATAAAATATAATAAATTAAATCAAAGTTTCTAATAGGATCTAAGGCATACACAAGGTTGGTCAACAGCATCTTTAGATGAGTCTGATAACAAAGATGAATTTTTACCAATGCGATTACCAGGTTCTACTTCAATGAGTGATTCAATTACAAGCAATAATATTAGTATGGATGGGAGTATATTATCTAGTAGTATTAGTTTAAAAAATTCTGCAACGAATTTACCAAAGCAACAAAAACACAGACATAGTGTAGATAATAGCCCATCTGCAGAAACATCTCATTTTCATGTGAGAGTATCTTCTATAGCTATAATTCTATTACACGAAGACATATTGACCACATGTGTAGAAGAAGGTGGTTTAACATCTTCTAGTATATATCAAATGAAAAATTCGGCAGACGAATTTTTCAAACAATTAGGAATGTTTGCAGTTGGAGGATATGGGAACAAAGATTTCGATAAAGCATCAAAAATACTCTTGGATGCTTGTCATTTAAGTCATATTAGGTATTTATAATTGCTATATATATAATATTAAAAAATAATTAATTTTTAAATTCTTATTTATTATAGATTACTCGCTGCGCCATTAGTAATTGAAGGAAGAGAAAAAAATGTTTGTTTATTATCTGTTGTATCAGGAACACTCACTTTAGCTAGCTTAGAAATTGTTGAATGTTTAGTTGACTCAAATAATTCTGAAACAAATGGTACTCCATCATCAGAATTTGTAGAGTTGCTTACTTTTCCAAAAGAAAATTCAACAAATTTTGGTTTCACTAATAAAACGGATTTTAAAATGAAATTTAAATATGTAGAAGATATTCAAAATACAGGATATGCACAATTAGTAAAATGTGCAAATCCAAAGACAAAAATTGAGTAAGTATGTGTA